ACCCACCTAAGGGAAGGAAGGAAGAGAAAGCTACTGAGTCACAGCATCAAGTTTATGGCTCATTCAGCCAATTCCATGCCTTCATCTTCTGCAAGGCTAGTGTGCTAGTTGCAGCGGTTCCTAGATGGCTACAGTCTGGCAACAGGCACTGTCCTGGCTAAAGTACAACAATATGCTGCAAATGAGGCTGATTTTGAAGACGATTACAGCTATTCAAGATTTAGTGACTAGACTACTGGGAATTGAAAACAGGGCATTGAGATCGCATCTCCAATAATAATACTTAAGGGACCTGGATACCTGAGGGAGCATCTTTTCCAACATCAACTTGCCAATATACTAATATATCCCTTAGAGGCCCACCTCTAACTACAACCATTTTAAGTGAGGCATGCAGCTATGGAAAAGAGGCCTTTTCCCTTGTAATACCAAGTTGAGAAATTCTTTTCCAGGCAAAGCTCCAGAGCCCTTCAGGCACCAAGCAAAGGCCTTTTAATTTTCCAAGGCTTTTAATCTCTGACGTGTATGTATTTAATTCCTGCTGTGCTCATTTTTAGCGGTGCCCTTCTAAGATGGAAACTTGTTTCTGTGATTATCGCATTTTAGAAGCTATTGCAAGCCCTCCATAAATTTTTGCAAAAATTCTTCAATATATAAATAAAATGCATGATTGTATTGTTTTTACTACCTTGATTCTTTCCTGTCCTCCAACTTTTGTACATATGGTGATCTATGAATGTATGAAACAAGCAAACTGCTGGCACAGTCTCTGATGTTTATAGCATTTTTAAACATGAAGCAAAAAAAAAAAAAAAAAAAAACCCCACACAAAAAACCAAGATCTAAATCTATGGTTATATAATTTTTGCATGAAAAGTGATCAAGTCTCTGTCATTCAACTTCTTTTCCTTCTTCTTTGTGGTCTCTCTCACTCACACATATGGGATATGCACCTGGGCGGAACAGACACTCAGAACATTCTAGAGCTTGTGTCTCACAAGGACTGGGAAGAATGCATGTAGCCACCTCATGGAGATATTCATCAGCAGGACTTTAAAATGAACCCTACAGGAAAAGTAGAAGTAAACTTGGGGGTAACAATGGACAAAGGCTTATACATCATAACAGAGACAGCATTTGTAATATAACTCAATAAAAGTGTCACAAGCACTCTCCTTTCCTTGCTTGGATGTCGTCTGTATTTAACTCTCTTGATATCTAACAGCGCCACCAGGAATTTTAACTCCAATCTTATCAATTAACCTCCTTTGTGTCCAAGCTGTAAGGCTCCTTCATTGGACTGTGTGGTTCTAAGGATGAGACACTGATATACAAACAGCCTCTCCGGATAAACAATAAACAAAATAAAACTTTATTTGTACAATAAGAGTATTGGTTTCAAGATGTTCTGTAACTTATTTCCTTAGGGAATAAAACAATGTAAAAGAACAACTTCTGAGTATCTCTCCCTTCACAATCGCTTCTCACTCTCAAATCCTCCTCTCCCTTCTGATGATTCTCTGAGCAGTCTTTATTCTATTTATCTCAGTTCAATCTTTCCCTTCTGTACTCATGTTTCTGTCAGCTTCTATCTCTCACACCCTTCTAATACTTGGCAATATTAGGTTGTGACTCTCCCTGGTTGCTAGTATGACCTCTAAGTATTCTACTTCCTTCTTTAGAATCTTAAATCTTTTTACAGTGCCATGTGGGATTCTAATGAGAAGGCTGCCTCTTCAGATTCTGCAGACCATGGACTGCCCACAAGCGACTGCTGTCTGCTGACAGTTCACAACTATGGGTGCGCACAAATCTCATGATGCAATGCCACATAAGACAAGCTCCCTGGTACCAGTAAGAAGTTGCTTTAATTATTAGTAATGAAAATGAGATTGTAAATGCAATTGTCTTTATTCTCTATCCCTTTTTAAAAATGGGATGAAAATTATTCACTTGGCATATAAAATAACACCCAATTTTTGCCTCACTATTTCTGGTTGCAAAGGTTGTCTTATGCATTGGTATATACAGTACATATCAATGCAGAGAAATGCAGGAGGATGAGCTTAGTAGCCCATTTGAGAGAACCTGAATTCATAGAAATGAAGCAAAGAATAAAAGGAGCATGGTAATCAGAGTCTACTAATGACCATGCAGTCAAGAAAAAGATGAAAATGAAACCTTTCATTGTTTGGTGGCTTTGGACCAATCACTGACTCTCAACCTTAACCAACCTCACAGGTTATTGTGAGGATAAATTGGAGAGTAAAAGATGATCATGTCAGCTTTCTTGGGTTCCTTGAAAGAATAAACACACACTCAAACAAATGATGTAAGAGTAATAATAAATATTTCAATCCTAACCCTAAGCTTTAGGAGACGCTTTCAAAGTAAAGTAAAAACTGCACAAAAATCAGGACACCACCACAAGATCAGGGCTAGAATGGGGGTGAGGCCAGGGAGTTAAGTAGGTGACTAATTAGTGAAACCCTGAAAACTGAATCCCCCCCCTCCAGCGCATGAAATTCTGCATTCAAGATACAAATAATAAAGGAGGACCAACAGAAGTATAGGTGGTCCCCAGGTTATGATCAGGTTCTGTTCCTGAGAAAACAGAAATTCATCTTTAAGTTGAATCTGTATGTACGTCAGATCATGTATACTTGACCCTCCACTTTTGTGGCAGTTAGGGGTACAGGATGCCCAAGAAAGTAGAAAAATGCAAATATCTCTAAGCCCCCCCCCCCACAACTCACCAGCACCACCTCCTTGCAGCAAGGAAATGTCAAAGACATTTCCTTCTCCGGATGGGCAGATCAGGAAGGCAAGCTTTGGAGGCTCCCCTCTCTCTCCCTCTCCGATTAAAACATTAACCAGCTTTATGACAGTTTGTAAGTACAGGTTGTGCGTAACTTGGACATTTGTAGCCCAAGGGCTGCCTGTATTACAAGTTGCAAAGATCAATTCCGTCCAAATTCTAACAAGAATATGCCAGCAAATAAGGAAAACCAAACAATGTCCCACAGACTGGAAATGTTCAATATAGATTCCCGTTCCCAAGAAAGGAGATGCTAAAGTGTGCAGAAGCTATGGGACCATTTCCTATGCAAGAAAAGTTATGCTGAAGGTGTTGCAACAGAATTTTACCCTATACCAAGTGAAAAATGCCTGATGTTGGGTTCCAAAAAGGCACTCAAGATCCCATTGCAAGTATACATAAGCTACTGAAGTGCTCCAAAGATTTTCAGAAGACCAGTCTATGCTTTATAAACCTACAGCAAAACCTTTGGCTGTATGGATTATAAGAAGTTATGGATGGTCCTAAAAGAAATGGGAAGAAATGGTTGGGTTTCAGCACTTGATTGTCCTGATGTGTAATTTGTAGCAGGGACAAGAAGCTAAGCTATGAACTATAGTTTCCTACAGGCAAAGATGCCAGAGAAGAGTATTTTATCTCCCTCTCTGTTCAGTCTGTATGCAGAATTTATGATAAGGAAAGCTGGATTAAGATCAGAAGAAATAGAAGTGAAAATTGGTGGAAGATACATTCGTAACTTAGATTTTCCGGATGATTGCATTGAAAGAAAACAGCAATGAAACAAATCCTGACAAAAGTTTAAGAGGTGCAAGAGGACTGCAGCTGAATATTAAAAAAAGACTATGGAAGAATTACAGAACTTAATGTCAACAATGAAAAAAACCAAAATTGTGATTCAAATGGAAACTGCAGCCAAAAATTAGAAGACTGAGATTTGAAAAAGCAGCAATAAAGGAACTAGAAAGAATAATTAAGTTTAAGGTCATTTCTCTGGAGACCAAGGCCAAGATCATCCACAAGACTGATCACTACGTATGGGTGTGAAAGCTGGACAGTGAGGAAAGCTGACTGGAAGAAAATTGATGTTTAAAACATAGTGCTGCAGGGGAGCTTTGTGGATACTCTGGACTGAGGGAAAGATGAATAAGTGAGTCCTTCCTTGCTCAAAGCCAGAAACTTGCCCTGGAATCCAAAATGATCGTCTACGGTACTTCGGGCACATCACGAAAAGACAAGTTTGACTGGGGAAGGCAGTCATGCAGGGGAAGAGCAACTGTGACATGGATCGAGTCCATCAAGGAAGCCACGGCTTTGCGCTTACAAGGGCTGAGCAGGGCCGTCAAGGACAGGCCTTTCTGGAGGGCACACATTCATAGCTCCGCCGTAAGTCGTACGTTGGTTGCATGTCACAACAACAAGCCTGTCCTCGCAAACGTGTCCTGAGTTTCTACGACGGCTATTTTTAACGTGCAAGCTTACTCACTCCAGCTGACTGCCACGCCCTCTCCATCCAGCCTGTACAGACAGGCAGAAGTCTTCCGCCGTCGGCCACCTCCAACCTCACCTGCGCCTGCTGCTTCCTGATTTCTGCTGACCTCATAGACTGCTAGCCTCGCCGCCTTCCTACAAACCCGGTCGCTCCCCCCTTCTGAAGGTCTGAAAAAATTGCTCCCAGAACTTAGCTGCCTAGAGAAACAGGCACTAGCAAGCCTCGCTTCCTGCACCGCCAGCAGCATACGAATCGTGCGGATTTAGCAAGCAGAGCTACTGAAAGGCAATTAACTGACAGCAAAGAAAGAGAGAGCGCTCTCCGTTTAAGCCCGACCATCAGCGCCCCGCTCATGCTTCTGCTCACTGATTGGAGAACGAATCTGTCAATTCAAGGTCTGGTTTCATGGCTGTGATTGGTTCGTTGGAACTCTCCCCCCCTCCTCCGCAAAACCAACCACCCGACGGACCAAACAGACGGACCATTCCCTGGAAAGAGGACGGCTGGCTGGGCGGGGCACTGCTTTGATTGACCTGGCGTTGGGCCAACGGCGGGATCGATAGCGAAGAGGCGTTTCTCCAGAAATAGGCGGGTGCGGGAGAATCACGGTGTCGTCGCGAAGGCGAGGACGAGGCCGGTCGTTGTGATGGGAGGGATTAACTACGTGAGGCGGAGCAGGGCGCTGTTGGTGGTGCAAGAACAGCGGCAGCTGCCTCAGCAGGAGGCGGACGACGACGACGAAGCGGAGTCCTCCTGGGAGGAGCTGCCGCCGCCGCCCGCGCCCGCCAGCTCCAGCTCCAGCTCGAGCAGCACTGCCGGGACCTGGAGAGAGGGAGAGATGCTGGGCGCCGCGGCCAGCGCGGGGGCCAAGCCAGCCAAGCCGTCCTTCGTTTCCTATATCAGCCCTGAGGTGAGGCGGTTGGCGTGAGGAGAAAGCGAGCGCCCGGGAAGAAGGAGCGGGACATGGCGAGGGTGGCGGGGCAGCTCAGGTAGGCAGGCGAGGCAGGCATGCGTGGGAGCGGCCGAGGTGGAAGTCGGCTCGCCCGCAAGCGCTTCCTTCCTTCAAGGTCGCCCGCCGGTGTTTCAGAGGAGTTCCTGCCCGGATGAGTAAACTTATGTTTAGGTTAATGAATTGGGCTGGTTTCCATGCTTTGTTTGCTGACTTTGTGCGCCCGCACCGCACCGCACCCCTTGGGGAGAGGGTTGCCCTGAAAGGGCGGAGCTACCCCCTAATTCATTTTAATTGAAAAAAAAAATGTCGTGGGTGGAGGTTCTGTCAAGGAAGGATGGTGGCTTGGCTGTATAAGATTTCTGTTTGTATCCTGTATTAATCTAACTCAATTCCCATGTATTTCAATATGTTTTCTCTAAAAAGGACTAAATAGTGGGTACAACCCAGTGGCAATGGTGTCGCTCCAGTGTAAAATACATACTTTTGGGTGGAGGAGAAAGGCAGGATAGTCAGGAAGAGGAAAAGGTGAGGCACTCAAGAATACTAAAGAGATCAGTTATTGATTATATAGTATGATCAATGGCCAGGATGCTTTTGAGTACCAGATGACAGGTCACTGTGCTGAGGCATTTAAGTGTGAAACTTGAAGCAGGAGAGGAAGAGGAGGCAAGGTAAGTAGGGGAAGACTGAATAAGGAAAAGGTGTGTTTGTGAAGTTATTAATAAAATATTTTTTCTGAAAGAAAATCGTATAGAGCTATTTGGATCAACCAAATGCATAAATAATAATTGAAGTAATGCAACTTGTAATGATGTTCATCTCTAATTTCCACACTCAGACTTCCATAAAAATAGGTGTTCCTTTTGGTTTGTAGTAGAATCAAAGAGGCCTAATCAAGTGGACACTACTGCATCAACATTATGCCATAATTTGTTCGTACTTCAGTTCTGCAATATTGTCTTCAGTAGCATCTCTTCTTAAGAGAGTGGCAACCATTATTTACTTAGGACAGATTTCTAATGGAGAGCCTAAATGCATCACTGTATCTGCAAAGCAAGGCTACGGTGCCTGCTAGACAATTTTTCAATTTCCTTGCATGGTGCTTATGGTGAGCTTCTTGCAACAAGTTATGGAATGGGAGCAAAGTCCATCCCTGCACCAACATCTCTGGGAGCTGCAGGGGGTATGAGCTACCCTATGCATGGAGATAGGAGCCCCCCCCCCCCCGCCGTTGATATTCAACAGTACAGCTTTTTTTCATCCCATGCAAATAGATGGAGAAATTACATCATTCATTTCCATAGGGAAAGAATAAGATGTTGGGAGGGAGCCAAAAGAGAGCCAAAGGTCATGTTTTTAGCATATGAAACCTTAAATGAGACTAGTTGTATAACTTCAGCCTTTATGCTCCTGTACAATCTATTAATGATCAGAGGAGGCACTCTTGTAGATACAACTTGCACCTAGGTTTGCCTCAAGAGCACTGGCAGTAGAGTGCTTCATGTTACAGCACCCACTCTCTGTAATGTATTGCCAGTTGTCATTAGACAGGGCCCCAGAATTCTGGTCTTTAGTTCTTTCTTCAAGACCCATCTCTTAAAACAGGATTTTCTTGAAGTATTCATTTATTTGGATATTTTTATCTTGTCCAATATGAATCGTCTCTGGACGGCTTACAATATAATACATGCATCAAACCATAACAAGATAAAATGCAACTGAGGATCTATCAATAAAACAAATACGTAAACTTTAAAATATTGGGTAAATAAAAAGGTCTTGACCTAGAGCCATAAAGTTCCACTCCAATAGCTGTGGTCTGTAACCCACAGCATAGTACAGGTTTCAGCTATTGCTGATTAGTGTTTTTATTGTGCGTATTTGCTCTACTTTGTACAATACTGCATGTTTATGGCTTTAACATTAAAGAAAGCAGTATATAGATCTCTTAGAGCAGGGGTCTCAAACTCAATGTACCTGGGGGCTGCTGGAAGTAGAGTCTGGGTGAGGCTGGGCTGCATCAAGTATTCCACCAGCACGGTGGTGGTGGGCTGCTCATCCCGCGTCGCTCCCGGAGGCCGGCCGGGCGCCGCAGGCGCTTTGAAGGCCACAGGGCCCCTCCCCCGTGCCCCGCCCCTCCCGGCAATTGGCCCGCAGGCCGTGAGGTTGAGACCCCTGTGTTAGATAAAGGTTTGAATCAAAATAGAAGCATAAAATTGAAATAACTTTAAATACTTGTAAGTATTTAAATATTTATACAGAAAGGACACAAAAATATCAGTATAAAAACTTCTTCGAAAAGGTCTAAGTCAGCTTTCAAATCAGGTGGTATCTATTTCATACCATCAGGGCAAGAATATGGAGATGTTTTCCTTATTTGGCTGCTGATAAACTGCAGGGAGCCACTGAACAATGTATCTTAATGAGGAAAGGATGTATATTAGTAGAAAGGATACTGACAAGTAATATTGATAGTGAATAATTTGAGACCACAATACTTGAAGGAACACTTTTTCCAACCACAATATACATGGGCACAGTGCTCAACAACTGAGACCATCTCCTTATTAGAACCTCTGAGAGAGGCTTCGCTCGTGGCAACAAGTAAGAGGGCCTTCTCTGCGGTAGCTTCCAAATTATGGAATGATCTCCCCACCAAGTCCCACCTGGTACCAACTCGACTGTTTTTTCAGTGTCACATTACGATTGCTTTCTTTGCTTAGGCATTTTACCAACTCTAAATAGCACATGAGGGTGGAAGTAAAGCCTGCTGTTTTTTAGCAGTCCTAGTGGTATGTATTGATCTTTATATTGTTAAAATGTGGTTTAATTTTTTGTGTATAATTTTGTGGGGATTTTATACTTTTGTTTATTTTATATTGCATTTTATTGTATTGTTGTACACAGCCCAGAGCTTCAGCTATTGGGCAGTATAGAAATAAAATAGGTAAACTTTCATGTTGGTAAGAAAGGCTTTACTGTGTGAAGCCTATATGCTTGAGAAAGATCCATAAATGATACAAATACAGATGTACATTCTCTCCCTACAGTTTTTTCGCATAAGTAAATTCATTATTTGATTGGAATTTTGCTAGTAAATCCTGGCAGCACAACCAGAATTGCTTTGACTTGCTGCCTCCTGCAGTTAGTCTTGTTGGCTTGGGGGAGAGCTGGATGGGTATGGCATAGTTGATAAAAGAATGCTGTGAATAGATCTGGGATTGAAATAAATTACTTGCTCTTTCCTCTGCAGACTTCTTTCCTGCTTCCAGTTAATGTGAATGAGAAGGTTATAATTGGGTATGCAGGTGTGGTGAGGGACTTTAGAATGGAATGGAGAAGGAAAGGTGATGTATGATTATATTTGGCCTTGAGCTAGAATTTGTGTTGTGATGGTATGATGAGAGAGGCTACCGCTGCATATCCTCTGCATATCCTGTTCACACATGTCTTACAGTAAACAATTAACTGCAGCCTTACAATCCAAGGAATAGGGTCCTGTTTCATGTAATAGCTGCTCATGTCAATACACTGTAGCACAGGGGTCCTCAAACTTTTCCCCCAGGGGGCCAGTTGAAAGCTGCCGGTGCTGAGTGTGGGCCGGAGAGGTGGTGCCGGCAGTGCACGCGGGCCGGCACGGGGGTGGGGATGGTGCATGTGGGCGGGTGCCGAGCCAAGGTTAGGCGAGGTGGGTTGGAGATTGTTTTTTCCGAGCGAGCAAACCGCTGCCTCCCTGCACACGGGGCGAGGTGGGTGGGGGCAGGCGTGCGCATGGGCGGCATGCAGTGGGTCTAAATGGGCATGGCGGACTGGATCCGGCCCCGAGGCTGTAGGTTGAGGACCCATGCTGTAGGCTATCCCACACTATTTTTCCTGTATGAGGGTGTATGTTGTTTGGCAAACAAGATATTCTAAGGCACAAATCCTTCTCTCAGGGCAAGGATATGATAAGAATGTAGATAGGGAGCAACTGTGGATTTATAATTTAAAGGTGTGTAATTGCCTTTGACTGTGTCTTGAGGAAAAGATGACCTGATATAGGATACATTGAGTGAGTTTTCAGGAGTGAAAGATCAGTAAATAGAATAGCTGATGTGTTTCTGATATTTCTAAGACATAGGCAAGAGGTGATGATAATAAATGGTGGCATGCAAATTATACCAATGTACAATTGATTGGATCTAGATTTGGTCATACATGGAACAGATATATTGGCCAATCAGGCAAGGCTTACTTCCATCTGGAAGAGAAAGAACCTCTTTCATTCTTGTTTTCATAGGAGTGCATGGTTAATCAGTGGTTCCCAAGGTTAAATTTCAGAGCAGTGAATCTCTTTTTCTAACTTTTTTTATCTTGATTTTTGTTCAGTTGTTTGACATGGGATTCAATAGGAGTTTGTCCTTGCTTCCTGTGCGTTAGCTTCTACCACACTATTGCCAGTACTTCATTCAGAACAAGAAATATTTAAGCTCATGTTTATTGTTTTTTAGTGGCTGTATTTTGTCTCGGGTACACACCAGTCACAATTGTGCTGCTACCCAGACTAAGCTGCATATCTCAATCTGACAATCACATGTTCTATTCTAGTTCATTTCACCAACTTGGAAAGGGAGATAACGTCATACACGTGCAGCTCTTCATACTTACTACTTTGAGAACTGGGGCAGGGCTGGTGCTCTGGTGTTGATTGCAGTTTGTACCCTACACAGGAGTCACATGCTCACTCTAATGTCAGGTCATTTTGCAAGCCAGGAAAGGGCAATGGCAGCACTTAGTGCTGTTCTCCAACACCCACTTATTTCAGAACTGGACAGGGCTACTGTGATGGTACAATGGACAGCTTGTAATATATGTGGTACATATTTAAGTCTGTAGTTGACTTACCTTTATTTCTGTCTTGGTACTACTTTTGAAATTGTTATAATAGTAAGGGCAAACTGCGGCAGCACCCTCTCTTT